AACATTTTGGTTCAGAACTAATCCAGTAATGCAAGCGGAAATTTTCGACCGATTGAACATTCCGTGTTTTGTAATTTAGTGTTGCAACCAGCAAAAAAAAAAAAATTGCAAAGTTTTTTTGCGTACTGACAGTTTATTACTGGCCATAAACAATCCTAACTGGTACATCCATTAAGTGGAGGAATTCATTCAGATGGCTGGCGTTGTTGTGCCGAACGATGGACATTGTCATCTGGACAAGCATGGCTACTACACGAAGTCTCTGGATCAGGATTACCCATCAATCGCTCTCCTCCATCAAAAAATAAAAGAACGAAAAGCAAATATTATTTTTGCAGTCACCGAGAAAAATAAGGATCTTTACAAGCAGGTATATAATGATTACCGAAATGTCATAATTTTAGTAGTTGGACTACCTGTAATTTGCAGTTTGGATTTTTACTTGTTTAGTTGCTCTCCTGATGGTGAGCCTCCTAATGATTCTGATGATTCTCCTGAAGATATTACCAGTTCAGCGGTTTTACGCGGCAGAATCACTTAACAGAGGTTTCACTGGTTTCGCAATGCATTTGATGTATAGGGAGCATCGCCATTCGTAAACCACTGTAAGGCGAAAGGCCTTACGAACGAGAAGATAAGAAATTATGCTAATGTTAGAATTCCGATGCAGTGGGTGGAATGAATGTAACCATATTGTTTTATTTTTTTTTTTTATCACGTGGTTTTTTGATTATTATTTGAATTGAATTGTCAAATGCGGTTTTGTTTGTTTCAGCTCAGCGATGCGTTACCAGATGTGAGTAGTTCGGTTGGTGTTCTAGCAGACGACTCGAGAAATATTGTCACTCTCATCGAAGAAGAGTACAACAAAATCTCACAAAAAATTATCATGGTCGATAACGCGAATGCCAGTCAGGGATTGCGGCTTTCTTATCGTTCAAAATGCCTCGAGTAAGTTGCAGTGAGTTTGAGTTGAGATATTCTCCAAAATGTATCTTTATCAATATTGCTTCTTCGCTGCAGCGAAGCGAGTTCGCCTAAGGCTCGCATTATTTTTAAAGGGCGGCAAATTCGATCTCAGTAGCCTTCGGAAGAGAGGCCATCAACGATGGCTTTTTCGTCAATCTTGCTGGTGATTGCTGCCAGCATTACTTTTGTTTTTTTAAAATTCGATTTAATTAATTGTTTTATCAATTCTGCATGAGAAGTCGTTTCTGTTGCGTTATTTTCGTACTGTTATTATCACTGTGACATTGAATTAGTACTGCTTCCACATTTGCAGCGGGCATTCACTGAAAGAGACCAATGTGTGTGATGGGATCAAAGTGGGCGATGAAGTATCATTCGAGGTGACGCTGGAATCGA